GTTACTTTGAAACTGTAAAGCTCAACACAAAATAAGAAAAAGATAGCAAGGTCAAGGTCACAGAAAAGATCAAGGCAGAAAACTGTGCCACAGCTGAATAGTTCTCACCAATACATATTAGTGTATGAATTTTAGTTAATTTATCTTGAAAAAGTCAGAAGAATGGAAGGTCAGAAGATGGACATGACTCTATGTCCCGCCCATATTCATGGCAGGGCATAAAAATAACTTGGACTATGTATTTATCCTAAAAATGAGAACTATTGAGAAATCATCAAGTGACCTTGACCTTATGACAGTTCAACCATAAGGGCCAATTAATGAGATATAATCTAATGTGAAGAGGAGACCCAAAAAACTGCTAGTGGGACATTGGATAGAGAGGTCACAGGGAACAGGTAAGAAAGCACAAATAGACAATGAATGACACCCCCTCCCTGTAGGAGTGAAAGGGCAAAGAAAGAGAGTGATGTGCATCACTATTGATGTCCCATTTAATGCCTGTCAAACAGCCAGACTACAGTAATTAGCCCATGATCATCAATGTCATTCTTAATCACACAACATGCCTGATTTAATTAGTGAACTTTACTGAAATATTCCATCAAGGACATGTCTTTTTAGAAAAACAAAACAGCTTTTACCTCATAACAAAGAGTACAATTTACCATTTTTTAAATTAAAACATTAATTAATCTGAAAATTAAAAAAAATATTCACACAACAAATATCCCAGGTATATCACAATTATATTTTTTTTCTGTTCATTTCATATGAAGTAACACTCAAAATTATGTGTCACACTCATAAAAGGAAAAGAACAAAAATTGAGTTCATCCATTTGTTTATTGGTCACTATAATAGCAGTTCAAAAGGACACTCTCCAAATGTGAGGAGCATTGTTCATACAGACACCTGAATGCAATTTTATCCACTCCTTAACCACTTGTACCCAAATCAGTAGTCAATAATCCATTATGAAAGACACCAAGAGTTCTGCAAGAGAGATTGTGCATTGCTAAAATCATGCATAATGGTGAAATCTATGGTCAGTGTGGCGACAACTGAGAAAAGCAGACAGACCCTGTGTCATAAATCTCTTGGACTTCAGTGCCAACAAACATCCATCGTTTTCCAAAAGTTAGACAGATGATGGATAGAAATCTTAAAAAACAGTCTTCATCTCCATCATAAAAGCCTAGGTTTATTGTGGGAATGGTGACAATTTATTCACCAGATATTGCCATCAATGATATTTTCCCCCTCAATTTGAATAAAGTTCGGCTGCTCTAATGTATATTTGGTAGAAGGCAAGATATCAAATTCTGTTCATGAGAAGAAAATGGTTCTACATAAAAAATAACCCATCTCTTGCTTCCCTGTAAACCAATAATATTGTGTTCTGCTACCCAGTCTCTTACATTCTCATCAAAACTTTTATATAAGGAATGTATATAAAGCAAAGTAGAAATAAAGAAAGCATCGATCATATTAAATATTTTCTTTCACCGAAAGCTCTTCTGTTAAACTCAATTGCAAGCTAAAGAATATATTAGGTACTCCATGGATTTGATAAATATCTATATACAGAGTTGAACTTCAGTATCTCAAACATCTACATCTAGAAACTAGGGGTGAAACGATACACCTCCTTCAGGGTTCGATACGTATTGTATAATTTTGTCTCGGTTCGGTTATTTTCGATACGATACATTTTGATAGAAGGAAACAAATTCAACATTGTTTTATGCTTTCTTTTTCTAAATCTAGTCACATGTTTTACGAATTTTATTTGCAAATTGACTAGAAGAAATTGATTAAAATTATTTGACTGTCAAAAATTATTTTACAAGCTATCAGTCATCAAAAATTTACGTTTTCTATACTTATTTATACTGAGTAACGTGTTTTATCTTATGCCAAACCAGACTGAATAACGATCCCGACCGAAAAATGAACCGAACCGAAAATTAGAGATTTTGCACCGTGTATCAAACCGAGAAAAAATACCGCGGTGAACCGTTTCACTCCTACTAGAAACCAATGATGTGTCAAAGTGATTTGAAAGTCACAATCACTTTTTCTGTATTTTAACATATATGATAATCTGAATTCTGAGTTATCTTAAAGTTTTTTTCGGGGGGGGGGGGGGGATGGAGGAGGAGGAGGAGGTGTGTCAAGTTTAGAGAACAAAGTTTGACTGTTTTTCAAGTGATGATAAATATGCTAATTAATAATGTATGAATCAAGATAAATGTTTAAGCTGCAAGAACTCTTAAATGAAAAATGCTAATGCTAGTTCTAGAAAAAGCTAATTGAATTTACTATTAACTTAATACATCAAAATGCTGAAAAAGGACATCCAAATAGCATCTCTTTGAACATGCTATAGAAGTTCTTCAAATACATTGTTTTAAAATATTAATTGTCAATTTTTCTCTGCTTGGTCACTATTAAATCATAAATAGGCAACATGTACAAGTCTGCGTGTTATGACATAAAGCTGAATTACTGATTCCAAAATATAACTTGTTCTGAAAAGAACTTGTAAGATATTTTAACTCTCTACTTGATGCACATGAAGGTATACACGTAAGATAGTCTTGAGAGACACCCAGGAACCTGCCTTCAGTCACAACATCGAAATGCACCATACATTTTTCACTCCTTTTTTCTCATTAGACCTTGAAGTATATCATAGATGATATAATAGCAATTTCTAAAATTTCATCTTGACACAGAGAAATCTACAGACAAATGATTTATAATCCCTGTTGTGTGCTTTATCACACTAATTGACACATTTATCTCCAACTGTAACCAAGCCCAGTGTTTGTTCCCTCTGACTGACATCCTCAGATCCAACTTATCAATTGATGCAATGCAAGCATCTAATTGTTCCTAATTGTCAGGGGTGGTATCATGACAGCCTCTTTCTATTTTGTATTGCGCAATGGGATTCAAATCCGCACCATACAATATCTTGTAAAAATTTGTCATATATCACTTTTAGCTGGAAGATTTCACTTTTAATCAATTTTGTAATAAATCAGGGAAGTGTAACTGAGTTGTTTTATTTTTTTTTCTAAATAGATATTTTGACCATTTAAGTATAGAATTAAAATAGGTCACTAACTTAAATTATGTGCTTAAATAGATATTTCAACTAGTTAAGCATGGTAATAAAAAAAGGGGGGTCATCAACATGCATATATGTACTTGTTGATATATGCATATATGTACTTAGAATGTTGATAGACAGAAAATGCGAGGGATATTTCAAACAATTTTGATATTCTCCCCATTCTGAAGATAACAGTAATTTAAAGATTATTAGGAAATGCCTGATGTAACTTATGTCAAATAATATCACAAACATGGGCCATACTTAACATATGGACTGCTTCATACACCCCTGTCAAAGCTTATCATTCAAGACCAAAAAACATGTCTTAATTTGTGTACAGTTGCTATCTTGACAGAGTTAATGTGGTATGCTGTAATTAGATTGAAACAAGTTTTAGAGCAGTCTCAGTATTCAATGTAACATCACAGATTTAACTTACCTGTCAAATAATTACAAAACTAAGTACATCAGAGCACTTAATTATATTTTTTTTTATAGTAATATTTTTTCTGAATTGTTCCCTGTAAATTTTTAGTGAAGAAACTTTTATTTTAGATAGAACATTCATTGCTTCAAGGACTTTTTTCTAGGCATAATGAGTTTGCTGTCCTTTTATTTTTCCTAGAAAAAAAAGACAATTTGATGTGAAGGCACTCCACAGGAAGCTGCTTAATCCAAGAGAAAATGACCTGAGAAGGATGTACATGACATTTGTCATTTATTTGCTGCAATCCGATTGACAGATTGATATGAAGACTTGATGAGGGCACACAAAAAACACAGCATCTGCAATCTTTTCCCTTGTCTACCTGCCACAGACAACTGTGAAAAAGAGCCATGTCTCGGATCTTCTTAACAGAAATCCTGTCAATTTCTGTATGTCAAGTCAGTCTCAGTAGACAATGCTTTCCATTAGCCATTGAAAGTCCCAGTGGGAATTTTTTTCTCTTTCAAAAACGAACTAAAATCTCAACCCTGAAGCCATTCATTAACTAAAGCTTACAATTCCTTTCATGACAAAATAACATTTCAATTCACAAATGCTACGTGTTTATATATGAATCTGTCATTTTATGTTGAAAAAATTACAACTTTGATTGGCTACTCCAATTTAAAAGATGTATGATTGTAACTGTATAGTCCTTTAGAAAAACACATTTGTTCTTTTGAGCTTCCTTTTTTTTTCAAACTGACATGTATGAAAAATAAATGACATTTCATGTTTTGCTCTGACTGATTGCACTATACATCAATCACATTGCAATTAGCATCTCCCATTACACAATTCACCAAGTAGAGGCTTGCCAAATCTCCAAGGAGACAAGGAACAGCTTTCTGTTTCATTCCAGTCACCTAAACATCATCCTGATAGGAAAATTATAATGTAGCCCTATTAGTCCCAAATGTTGCCTTATCATTTTTTATCTAATGTAAGAATTGGGTAATATATCTTGCTGCATGTCAGAAAATAAGCAGGCGCCTTTGTTTGCTTTGTTGAACAAATAAATTAACAACAAAAGTGGGGTTGATTGATGGACATTCAGATTGATTGTGCTGGCTCCGACAAAGCCTGCCTGACAGCTGATTGACAATTTACATTGAAATATGTGATTGATGCTTTCTGAACAAACAGCAGATGGGCTTCAAGTGAAAGATACACAAATGGCGACATAGTTCTAAAACTAAGGAAATAAAATTTGATGTAGAATAATTTGAAAGACTCTCCAGAATGCTTCTTATTATCTCAGTTGAAATGACATCTGATATCGTAAACAGATACCCGTAATACGTTTTCGTTGTCAATAGCTTTTTAAAGCGCTGTGACAGACGACACACTTAGCATGCAAGTAAAACTAGAATAAACACAACTTACATTGTAATCTCTTTGGTTGAACTTGTTTTCTTCGCGGCATGCTTTGTCTTTTCATCTGTATTTCATCTTTGTTTTATGTTGACAATAACATTTTTAAATGTACCGCATTTTTACAGTGCTTGTTGATATAAGACACCAGCATCCAATCCTAACCTGGAAGGAAATCTTCAGTGTTTGGAGGTTAAAAAAGTATTGCGCATGCTCAAAAGGCTTCTGACATCCGGTTTCAATAGCAGGTTGAAGTAATTCTTATTTTGATTAATTTGATACAATATCCATTTTTTCCTATGTAGTACCCTTTCATTTTAATCATTTAGGTATCAAAGTTTACAATAACACCCATGTCATAAACGCAGAGAACTGTTTTGCAATGCAAACATTTTATCAAAAAATGGGGTGACGCCATGCAAATATTGTTGACCTAGGAGGTCTAGTTTGCTGATCTGGAACGCTGAAAATTTAACTCTGGGTTAAATTGAACGAAAGGCATACTGACAGTCGTTTATTCAAGGGACCTATATACGCATGCATAAACTAACGTACAAAGACATAAATCATTACATATGTTATAAGTTCCAACACACAATCTCTGGATTTAGTTATCAGGTCCAGCACAATCTCTTGATTAAGCTATATAGCTTGAAATAGCTATATAGCTTTATTAAGCTATTCAAAATAGCTTGATAAAGCTTTACTGGAGTTTTAACACTCAAATTGAGTTTACTCCATCAAGGGAAGAAGAAAGCTATTTATATGCAAGTTTTCACAAAAATATTATTTGTACAAAATAGACAAAAAGTCGCAAGTATTTGACTATTCATATATGTAATATGGGTTATCAAATCAACAACCCAAATCAAAGATAGTTCTAACATTGCAGCATATGAATACTTTTAAGCAAAAGATGAATTTCCATTGTTTGGGTAACTGTACACTACCTTGTGTGCGTGGAGGCATGGACAAGTATGATTGCTTCTCATTGTACTGAATCATTACCAATCATCTTGTTGACCATAATTGGCCTCCTTTATAATTTCACTGAAGAAGTAACTGTATCAATTGGTTTATATAGCCCCAAAACTTTTAGAACTTTGAGTACAAAGTCTATTAAGGAGATGCAATTTGATGAGTGATTTTTACATGCATTATTTTCATAAGAGTTCAATGTTGCATGAATATTATCACTGCACCAAGGCCCGATTTTTTGAGCATTCTTAGAAAATAACACATTTGAGAAAAAAGTGGGATAAAATAGCTAAATCAAGCTATTCTGAATAGCTTAATAAAGCTATATAGCTAAATCAAGCTATATAGCTTAATCAAGAGATTGTGCCGGACCTGGTTATATAGCTTGAATTAGCTATATAGCTTCAATTAGCGATTCAAAATACTTGATTAAGCTATTTATTTGCAGTTTGTCAGAAGTATGCCTTTTAAATGACGTACATGAAAAATTCACTAATATTTCACCATAAACTAATAAGCACTCATAGTTTGAGCATTGCTGCTTTGAACAGGTCCAGTCCAAAGACTATTTCTACCTACGTAGCTATTAATAGCTACCTAGGTATTTTAGCCTACCCAAAGTAGCTATTTTTACCTACTTTTTGCATTACTTGCATTTTGTGGCCAAACGGTGCAACATGGTGAGTACCAAATTTTTTGATACAGTCACACTGATGATGAATACAACAAAATTTTGGCCATAAAATGATTACTTCGTAAATTAACAATTTTACATTAATTGCTATGCAAAATTGTTAATTTATGAAGTAATAGCGGGCGCAGCGAGCTTAATAGCCTAACGTGTAAGAACAGAGAAAATTTGGAATGAAATCTGTACATACGTCAGGCAAATTTTCTGGTGCAACATTCCCAGAATTCCTTCGCTACCAGGGTTCCATGTGAAATTCTTACAAAACATACAAAAGACCAAGGATGATTATTCATTACCGAGAGATACGTTTACTTTTCTTTCTTTGCAGAGAGCTTAAAAGAAACAAAAAATAATTACATCTAATTTCATTTATTATTGCACAAGATCTTTAGTCTCGTTCAACCAGACGCTCGGCTGTCTCCATAAAGTCCGACATTATGTGACGTCACAGTCTAGACTGTGTCTCGTGCTGTTTGACATTTGAAGAGGCGGGTCAATGTTATTAGTGTAAGCTGCAATAGCTTTTTGATGGTACAACTGTCCAGCTGTCTGTCCGTCCGTCTGTAAACAATTTTTCAAAATGCTACTCATACAGTTTTGGTCTGATTTCAGTATAACTTGGCACACAAGTAGACAATAATAAGATACGTAATTCTGTATATCAGTTTTTGATTTCAATGAACAGTGTTGCCATGGTTACCAAAAAATAGAAATTTCTGTGAAAAACTTTCAAAACGCTACTCCTCCTACAGTTTTGATCTAATTTCAATATAATTTGGCACACAAGTAGACTATAATAAGATACATTATTCTATATAACGGTTTTTGATTTCAATGAATGGTGTTGCCATGGTTACTAAAAATAGAAATTTCTGTGAAATACATTCAAAACGCTACTCCTCCTACAGTTTTAGTCCGATTTCAGTATAACGGCACACAAGTAGACTATGAACAAAGATACATAATTCTGTTTATCGGTTTTTGATTTCAATGAATGGTATTGCCGTGGTTACTAAAAATAGAGATTTCTTGGAAATATTTTCAAAACGCTACTCCTCCTACAGTTTTGATCTCATTTCAATATAACTTGGCACACAAGTAGACTACATTAAGATACATAATTCTCTGTATAAGTTTTTGATTTCGATGAACGATGTTGCCATGGTTACTAGAAATAGAAATTTCTTGAAATACTTTCAAAATGCTACTCCTCCTATACTTTTTGTCTGATTTCAGTTTAACTTGGCATACAAGTAGACTACACTTAGATACATAATTGTCATTATTGTTTTTTGATTTTGTTGAATGATGTTACCATGGTTACTTAAATCGAAATTTCTGTAAAATTATTTTAAAAGGCTACTCCACCTACAGTTTTCTTCTGATGCAAGAAATCCTGCCATAAAAAAGACTAAACCAAGGATCATTATTCTATTTATTGCTGTTGAAAAGTTTTAAGTCCAAGTGCTACTTTTATCTTCCTTTATAAGTACAACCAGTAGAGCTACAGTCTTGTCAGACTTCTGGGATTTTTTGAGGGTGGGGGGGGGGGGGGGGGGGAGAGGGCTACAACTACTTAGGATCTCCGTAATGGTGCAAGTGTGGGAGTGATTCACTACCGCACAGATTTTGGCTCAAATTATCAGTAAGTGGGTGTTTTATTAACATATCTTACCTTAACTCATAAAATGTACATGTAGTTATGAAAGACATGAATTAGTCCAAAAATATACAGAACAATCCGTACATCGGTTATTTTTCGTGTATGTGAACATCACAACTTGAATTTATCCACCATGTTTACTGACCTTGATCGATTTTATTTGACAACCAATGAAAAATTCGGGATCTAGGGGAGCGGATTGTTTATGAAAAAAATATCCCATGGAATGCTTTTATTTATCGATGTTTAGTGATATCATACAACACAAACATTTATCAACACCAACATTTACTTTATCAAGTGATTCTAAATTTCAAGCGCAAGTCTCAGTACATCATGCTAGAACTGTCATGGCTGCTGAGGAGAACAACTGGTAAACACGCAGATTTATTTTACTTGGTTTTCATGTATAAAGGGCTATGATGTTGATAGTGAATAAAAATTCTGTCTCATTGGAAGTAAGTTGAATGCAAAAACAATTTATTTTGCCTGCAGTCGCCCGCATCTAAAAAAATATAGGCCTATTTGCACCGTTACGGAGATGCAGTGGAATTGTAGCCCTCTCCTGAAAATATCAGATTAAAAAAAAGTCGGAGAGGGCTACATTATTGCAGCTACATGTTGTGCTGTTCAGCCGTTTGGCCACAAATGCAAGTAATGCAAAAAGTAGGTAAAAATAACTACTTTGGATAGGTTTAAATAACTAGGTAGCTATTAATAGCTACGTAGGTAGAAAAAGTCTTTGGACTGGACCTTTTTAACACTTTTTAGAGGTGGAACAATACACAGGTCTTGCAATACAATACGTATTTTGTTACAAATAACACAATGCAATGCATATTGTATCTCAATATTATGATTAATTAGAAAACTATAAAAAACTTGATATTTAATTTCAATATTTGACTTCTTGACAATATATAAATCAACAAATTATTTTATATCAAATCACATGTGCTTTGAAATTAATACTTGAAGTTCATCAATTTCATTGACTAAAATTTACAAAAACAACATAACATGATGTTTTGCCAAATGTATATAAAGAAGTTGGCTTCAATAAGTATGTAGTTCATCAATATCATTGACTAAAAATTAATCTGAAATATCACATGTACATATTAATTTTTAATTGCTGAAAGTCTATATATACTGTGGAATCATCAATGTTCGTGGGGGACCATTGTTCATGGATTTCGTGCGTCTGACACCCTTATCAACGAATTTACATCCCCACGAACAATTATTTTGTCAACATATTTATTCATTGAATCTACTTTGTATACGAGTTACCCATGAAATTACATCCCCACGAACCAACAAAATTTTGCTTAACCACGAACATTGACCCCCACGAATATAAATGATTCCACAGTAATCAAGATGAGTGTACAGAAAAATTAATCCACAACTTGTTTCAAAATTTCAAATTCTCTTTAATGAAAATTAGACAATCCATGCTTTTTTACGAGTTGTTAGTGCCATATAGACAATGATAATAAATAAAAATAATATTCCCTGTTGTGGAAACAATACTTTCTGTCTATAACAAGCTTTACATACTGAACTTTTCTTGTCCCATCATCTGAGGATGCTTAAAAGTGAAAATGTTTTTTACCTCTTATCTAAGACTTACTACATGGAGACCAATTCTTTGGATGAGATCGTATAAACCTGTAGTAGGTGTTGGTACGAAAAAGATTCCTCACTGCTCAAGGGCCTTGAGTGCTGAGTATAGGTTTAAATTTGTAACCCTCCACTGGCAAGTGGTGGCGTCTCCATATGAGTTAAAAATTCTCTAGAAGTTCGTTAAAACAATAAAAACAAACAAAACGATTACTAGTTCTAAAGCATGTTTT